CTAATTTGCAATACAGAATATCAAATAAAGGCGGACTAAAAGATTTACTCACCATTGGCTGAAATATACACGCATACAATCAGTAGATCAAAATCAGATGAACTGAACTAGTAAGTTCTACCTCAAAAAAGAGCAATGCTTGCGTGAAGTCTAGCTGTTGACTGAATCCGCCATTAACGCAAATATGTCATTCTTCTTACAATACTTGGGACTATTAGGTAATAATAGAGTTTTATTTTCACAAAAGGCCACTGATGTTTAAGTGACGTTGTAATTTGGTCATTAAAGTACTATTGTGACCTATTTAGTCAATCAAATTAAATAATATTACATAATTGATTAAAACTTTAGCGGCATCAACTCCATATTGGACAACGACTAGTTAATCCTTGACATTAAGTGACAATCATTATATCCATGCCAGGAAGTTACACATCTTCAACGAAAAATTTTCGGATCGCTCCTTTTAACCTAATAATATTTTTCATCATTAATAATCAATAAAAAAAATCATGATAAATCTAAAACACAAGGTCAGCTAGAAGGAATTGATCGCTTTACTTGGTGTTGGTGAACGCGCCAATAAAATTAAATAATGTCACATAACTGGGTCCTACTTTAGCGATATCAATTCTAGATTCAACAACGGTTCTTTAATCCTTGACTTCAAGTGATGCCATTGTATCAATGTTATGAGTTACACATTTTCAACAAACAAATTTCCCAATCTCTCTTTTTAACCTTATCATTTTTTTCATCGTTAATAAGCAATAAAAAGGTCATGGTAAAACTAAAATACAAGGTTATATAGAAAGAATTGATTGATTTAACAAGTGTTGATGAACATATCACTACAATAAAATAATGTTATATAATTGGTCGCTACTTAGCCGTATCAATTGCAAATTCAACAATGGTTCCTTGACATTACCTGACAATCATTATGCCCATGTTATGAATTTACACATCTTCAATAAAAAAAAATTTCTAATCGCTTCTTTAAACTTAATAATATTTTCCTTCACTAATAAGCTATAAAAAGATAGTGGTAGATAAAACTGAAACATAGAAGGAATCCGTCACTTTAAAAAATGTTGGTGAAAGTTTCACTAAAATTAAATAATGTTACATAATTGATACTACTATAGTGGCATCAACTCTATGGTCGATAATTGTTTGTTATATCTTGACATTTGTCGATGATCATTATATCTGTGTCATGAAGTTATACATCTTCAAACAAAATTTCAAAATCGCTTTTTAAGTAATCGCATTTTTTCATCGTTTATATTATAAAAAGATCATGATAAAGCTAAAACACGAGGTCAACTAGAATAATTGATTACATTAACAAGTGTTGGTGAACGTGTCAATAATACTGAAGAATGTTACATAATTGGTCCTACTTTAGCAACATCAACTCCATATTCGACAATGCTCATTAATTTTTTATATTAAGAGTGTGTTTGAGCACCATTTTGGAGGAAAGAATGCATTTTGAATAATAGATTGATGAAGAATATGTGGTTAAAAATAAGGAAAAGTTTTGAATTTGCTTATAATATTATTTTATTGAAAAATATGTAATTGAAAATGAACTTTGAAAAAATGAGTTTTTAGAAGAAAGTGGCTCAAACAAGGGCTAAGTGACAATTATCATATCCATATCATGTAGTTATACATCTTCAACAGGAAAATTTCAAAGCATTCATTTTAAACTAATCATATATTTCATTATTAATAAACAATAAAAATGTCACGATAAAGCTAGGTCACCTAAAAGGAATTGGTCCATTTAAGAAGTGTTGGTGAACGTGAATGTTTAACAATGCAAGGAGGTCTTGCTTGACGTTAATTAGGTTAATTGACTAATTACAGAACACTGCGTAATTTCGATGACTAAATTAAAAATAAAATAATAAAATAACCGTCAATTTAAAGTTTTTGAACTTCAATGACCATTACTGGAATTAAAGTTAATCTATTCAACATTACTAAAAGTGTGAAAGATTTTAATGACCAATTTGAAATTTCTTGAACTTCGATGACCATTAGTGAAATTAAAACAACCCATTCGATTCTAATAGAGTATATTTTAGTGATATATGAATTATATACACTGTATCTGTGTTTCGTCTTTTCTCTGCATATATTCTGCACGTTAAGAAACGGGATAGTGATAATTTGCACGTGGCAAGGGAATTTGTACTATAATCGGCCCTTATTTAGGACGTGTTTGTGTCCCTTTAATTTTAAAAAGTATATTATGGAATTGTGATTGATGTTGAAATGTGTAGTTAAAAAAGAATGAAATTTTTTTATTTGTGCAATAATTTTAATAAAGAATGTATGATTGAAAATGAGTACCGTAAAAAAAATAATATGATAGAATGACTCTGTTTGGAGGGGGGAAGGCTTTTTTTTTTTTAAATTACACATTTTTCAATAAAAATAATATTACATGTAAATTTAATTTTTTTCTTATTTTTTAATCATGCATTCTCCCAAAAAAAATATTATTTCAAAACACACTATACTTCAAAATCAATTATTAATGGAGACAGCTGTAATCCCATTTTAGTTTTTTCACATTAAACCCTTGTTTAATATATATTAAAATTTAAATTACAATTTACATTAAAGTTAATAATTAATTTTAACCATACATTTAATAGTATGCACAACTGTTTAATCACATATTTCTTTTAAAATTGCCATTAAGGGGTGTATATCCGTACCAACTGTTTAATTCTTTTATTAATTAATTAACCAAAAAATAGAAATACGCCAGAGTTCTTGGCTACAACAATGGTTTAATACACATATTTTGATTTTTTTTGTTATCTATACATGATAATTTTTATATGTATATCGAATATTTCATCTGTTAAAATGGAAATTATTCAAAGAACCATTTTTTAAAATTTTAATAAATAATATATTTTATAAATTGTAAATTCGTAATTTTTGATTGCACATAAATTTAAAACAATGGATGTTGTGTTGTATACGCATTGATCTTACCAAATGGTACCAATTCAGAGCATGTAAGGGCATTTTTAATATGTTGAATTGAATTAGCCCCGTTTGGCCCCCATTAATTTTCATTTCATTACATTTTATTTTTTCTCTCTTATTTTCAACCACACAATCTTTCATAAAATAATATTACACGTAAATCGAAAATTTTTCATTCTTTTTCAACCACTTATTTTTCAAAAAAAATATTATTCCACCTATTTTCATTTCATTTTAATGGAGACCAAACGAACATGAAGGAAAATAAATTAAAATATTAATTTTTATTTTATTTTGTATTTACATTATTAGCCAAAATTATATAGTACAATGTGGTGTATATATCATTGTATTATAATGTAAATTTAATTTTGAAGTAATGTTTCACGTGACTTGTATAATTATATTTCTTTTAAGGCAAGTAAAAAAGATTAATTGGCATTTGGTCAATGCAAAGTGCTGATTAATGAACTCTCAAGTTACCCAATACGACCCGAAGGTTGAGGTTTATCCGTTGGCAGACTTGGTCGGTATATTTATTTATAGCAATATCGAAAATTAATGAATATAAATATTTCATGCTTGATCACACTGGTGACAGCTTGAACATTTAAAAAACCCTTAAAATATAAAAGAATCAAATAATTTGGCTATGGACGGCCAATTGCTTGATAAGTTGTCGAATGATTGGTAATACTTTTTTTTTTTTCCTTTTTTTGTATTTTGCAAATATTTTTGATCTATTAAATATTCTAAGTCTATATCATTTACTTTTTAAATTAATTATAGTCTATATCAAAATACTCTATCTAGTTAAATACGACCACAAAATTGTAAGGTTTAATAACGTCTTTTTGAGTCTAACCTTGTCACAAAACTGCAAGCCATTAATCGGATTTAAATGGAAGTCTTCTAATAATAATCAAGTGCGACTATTAAATAGTCACACATTTTTCTATCATGGTCAAAATACTGGTGTCAGTTGGCATATTTTAAAAAATCTTCAATATTGCTAGCGGAAGATTTCTAACACTCTTGTACTAGAAAGTGATTGGCCTCCGTTAGGCAAATTTATAAAGAGTAAGAATAGTGAGCCTCCCGAAACATAACGTAGTGGTGTAAAGGACACGAGTGAGGTTATTTCACGTCTTGCTGGCAGCCGCAATGTGAGAGTTCGATTCCTGAAACATAGAATAGGCGTAGTGTACAGGTAGCTCTTGTTCCCTGACTTGCTGTGGCACATCCCGCGATTTACCTCCCTCACAAAGCTCTAAGGACGTAGCGATATGGGCCATCAAGATTGGGGTTCAAACTTTATAAAGAGGAAGAATAGTGAATCACAGAAAACATATGGATGATAAATTAATAATAGCTGTGAATGGGTGATTGAAATTAATGTTTAACTTTGACTGAATTTATAAATCATTTACAAATTGTTTGCCCAACGGAGGTAAACTAATTACCCTAAAAGTAAATATTACTATTCATCGATTTTCATCTTTCAATCATAAATATAATTTCAATGCCGGATTATATTACTATAATCACAAAATACACAGTATGAACAGTTTTTTGAAATTGTCAATATAATGGAATGGTATGATTAGATTTGCGGGATCTTTCCGTTTGGAAAACCATAAGCAGCAAAGTACTCAAAAGTTACATCTCCCAACAAATTGTACAATTGAAAAAATATTTACTATATTTATTTCTTTTTAACAAGTTGGCTTTCTCTTGTATTAAAAAGCTTATGAAATTCCACATAACCTTGCAGGATCCACCAGATAAGGGATGTGAATCTCCCCCCAGCTCACAATATGGAGCAGCTATTTTGTTCCCTATAAAGATAGGGTCATTAATTATGACACGCATACTGAATCCATCCGAGTTAATGAACAATGCTGAGGATTAAATGCACTCGTAGTCAGTAAACTTCATTTTGTTTCAACGACCACCAGTGTTTTTAACTCACAATGTAGACGATACTTCTTTGTATCTTCATAACGGCTTAGTGCTTCCTCAAATTTGATCCACCGAGGACATGTCTCTTTGAGGTTCACATTCTGTGGTCCAGAAATATAGGCCTCAACAACAAACTGAGGAGATCTTTCCCTGCCAATGCATCAGATTTCTTAATTAGACGATGTTTTAAAAATAAAAGTGAAAAGTCCCTGAATCTAGCAAACAAGGAAAGAAAGGAAAATTTTAAGGCTCGGGTACTCGAATGTGAGAGGTGTACCTTCCTTCATATTCCGATAACCAAGCCACATAGGCTGCTCCAAAGTACATGGAAACGAATGGAGTGGTAAGATCTTCCAATGATTTTACAATGTAACCCTTGTAGCCCAAGTCCCTAAACATCATATCCAGCAAATTGAGGAAGCTTTATCAACAGGGGCGGATCCAGAAAATTACGTTGAGGGGGGCTGAAATTTAAAATATACATGCAAAAATTTTATAAAGTACACGACATAAAATTTCATTACGACATTACCTACTGAAGTTGAGTCCGTCAAGCTTTAATTGCATAAAATTCGTCTATAATAGAATCTATATCTATTTTCTTGGCAAATTCTCGTTCAATGTAGAGCATCATACAATCAGCAAGAAACTCATCCTCCATTCTGTTACGAATTGCTGTATTCACATGTTTCATTGCTGAAAAAGCTCGTTCAGTAGTCGCTGTAGATACAGGTAGTGTTAGAACAAGACGAATCAATTTAGTGAGAACAATGTAATTTTCTGACCTTCTACTTGCAACCAAAAGCTTGCATAATTCAGAAAGTGAAGACACTTGAAATCGAGGATCACGAATCACATCATACTCATAATGTTTCAACTCAAACCTCAAAGAATGAAGCTCTTGCTGTGAAAAATCACAAGGATAAAACTTCTCTGCAAGCTTGCAAATATCGTCCCCATTGAATGATTCAAAAGAATTTTGAGGATCCAAAGCAACAGTGAGAGAAAGAAGTTCTACCGATAGTTCATTAAATCTTGTATTTAACTCCATCAGTTGGAAATCTATGGCTTCATTAAAAACATTAAAGTGGTAATGATGCTCAAGCGTAACTTCTTCACGAGGACGACCAATCTTATAAAACAAGTTTAGGTCGGGTATATCAACATCATTTCTTAAACAGAAAGTTTTCACCGCATTAAGAAATTCCTCCCAACCATCTTGTCTAAATTCTTGAAGGAGACCTTTTGTAGTGGAGACAAATTTGATAGCAGTCGGGATGTCTTGAGATTTTTTTTGAAGAGCTTCGATTTTCTTTATGGTGACCCACAACCCGCCAGTTCTGGTCTTCCCCTTCCGGTCTGACCTGGATTAGTGAGCGGTGTGACTTTCCGCCATGCCCGGGATGGAGCTCTTTACTTGAAATCCTTATTTCCGGAAAGACCACCTATTTGTTCGTTTACCAGGTTCGGCACGAAATCATAAATAAGCTCTACCAAGGATTGCCAAGCATTTGAGCTAATCCCTCATTGTTTTCGCGCATTAAGCTCAGGAATACGTTTATTTGCTAATATGATGGCCGGTCAACTCAAGGGGAAGGCAAGGCCTGACTCCGTTGAGCTCTTCGCTCGGCCCGTTACGAAAAGCGTTATCGGATTTGAACAACTGAGTTGTTAGAATGCCAGCTGGAGTATTTGACCATCCCCTATGATAATCAAATTGGCTGAACTGCCCCAAAACCTTTCGACCTTTTTTCACTTTTTGGCTTCTTGAATGACTCTTTGTTTTTGGATCTTGTTCTTGATCAAACAAAGATCCGCTCTTTAAAACTTCTCTGCAAGCTTGCAAATATCGTCCCCATTGAATGATTCAAAAGAATTTTGAGGATCCAAAGCAACAGTGAGAGAAAGAAGTTCTACCGATAGTTCATTAAATCTTGTATTTAACTCCATCAGTTGGAAATCTATGGCTTCATTAAAAACATTAAAGTGGTAATGATGCTCAAGCGTAACTTCTTCACGAGGACGACCAATCTTATAAAACAAGTTTAGGTCGGGTATATCAACATCATTTCTTAAACAGAAAGTTTTCACCGCATTAAGAAATTCCTCCCAACCATCTTGTCTAAATTCTTGAAGGAGACCTTTTGTAGTGGAGACAAATTTGATAGCAGTCGGGATGTCTTGAGATTTTTTTTGAAGAGCTTGACAAAGTATGTCGCTGAATCCCAAAATTTTATGCATTAAATGTAATGAGAATACAAATTCAAAGCTTTTAATGGTTTCATAAACACCATGAACCTCAGCACGAGATCTTCCATTTGGAGAATGAACAATAAGATACTCAAGTACCTTGCAAGTTGCAGCGTACATATCTATCAAACTCTTTACTGATTCATAATGTGAACTTCAACGAGTAGAGTCTGATTTTTGCAAATTACCAATTTGATTGATCTTGCTTCCAGATTATCGTTCTCCACTAGCCAACATATCTCCAAGCTCTCTTCTTTGAGCAATTTGTAATGCATTAATGCGCTTAGGAGAAGAAGTAATAATATTAACAATATTGTCCAAATGAGAAAAAAATTTCCAAATACAAATCACATCCTTGGCTGCAAAAACCAATGTCAGTTGTAGTCGATGAGCAAAACAGTGGATATAGTAAGTATATGGACATTCTTTAAGAAATAACGCTTGAAGTCCGTTCCAAGTACCACGCATATTGCTAGCACCATCATATCCTTGCCCTCTAATTTTTTGCAGCTGGAGTATTTGACCATCCCCTATGATAATCAAATTGGCTGAACTGCCCCAAAACCTTTCGACCTTTTTTCACTTTTTGGCTTCTTGAATGACTCTTTGTTTTTGGATCTTGTTCTTGATCAAACAAAGATCCGCTCTTCTAATTTTTTGAACCTGAAGGTCGTGACGAACAAGAACATCACATATCTCATTTTTTAGATTCGATGATGTAGTATCACTAACGCTTTTGATTGCAAAGAAACGTTCTATTATAACACCATCATTGTTCACAAATCGCAAGATAATGGCCATTTGTTCTCTTTTAGATTCATCTTGTGCTTCATCAACAAGAATACAAAAGCAATTTTCTCCAAGCTCATCACGAATCATCTGTTGCACTCTATTAGCCATAATGTGCAAAATTTCTTTCTGAACATTTGGACTAGTATATGTAGCATTTTGAGGAGCTTTATCCAATACAACTTCTCCAATTTCTACATTCATTTTTGCAAAAACTTTCACCAATTCAATAAAATTTCCACGGTTCAACGATGATGAAGATTCGTCATGACCTCTAAAAGCACAACCTTGAAGTGCTAGCCACTTAACACTTAAAATTGTAGTCTTCAGACGTAGTCGATTTTTTAGAACTTCTTCTTTTGTTATAGCATTCATCACTTTATCAATATGTCCTGATGGTCTCATTAAATCTTCAGCTCTTCTTACACAAATATTATGAAATGATGAAGGTGTTGAACCCATGTGAGTAAGAAATGCACATTTGTCTCCTTGGTTAACCCTCTTCCAATTGTTAAATCCATCTGTGACCAACGCCGAACTCTTGGATAAATTAGCATCATTCGAGAACAAAAAACAGTAAAAACAATATGCTTTATCTGTTGAAGGAGAATATTCCAACCACCGAAACTGATTGAACCATTTTTTTTGAAATCGACGATTTTGATTTCCAAATATTGACTTCTGATAATTCAACAAAACAGGTTGATAAGGCCATGCTCGTAGATAATCCCGTCTAATTTCATCTTGTAAATTAATAGGATGTTCACTAATGTGCTTCCTTTTTCCGGGGTCCCTTTCGATCAAAATAGATGGTTGTATATCAGGTTGTGGAGGCAAATTAGGCTCAAGTTCAGGAGATGAAATTGGAGGATGATGAACTGGACTATCCTCTTCAACTATAATAGGTTCAGAATGCGTACTAGTGGTAGATTCATTTACCTTTTTAAAGAAGGAGAATAATGTTTTTCGCTTCTTAGCACCAGATGATTGACAATGTTCCATTTGTAATTGTAGAGCTATTTCCTGAAATAAACGAACGAAGTCATATTCAATTAAAATTTAAAAAATAAAACATGAAATTTCCTTAAAGAATGGCAAAAAAATTCCAGTCCCAGAACACCTAAATTATCCTTAAAGCAACAACCTTTAATCATAAACAACAAATTCTAATAAAAGATTACTTCGAAATTGTAAAATAAGCAAATAATGAAAGTGTCAGTATTGAAACTAATAAACTATTGAATTATAACCAATTAATTATTAACCATTGAACCAAAATTCGAACAACTTTAGCCAAAAAAAATATATAGAGCTGGCACCAAATGGAATAAATACATCATTGAGACAATTACTTTCTCATCAATACAAGTTGCAACAAACACAAATTCTAGTATTCTGTATCCATTTCCATTCGGATTTCGGTAACACTAATTTGGAAAAATCTAAAAATGTTCCTATTGTTTCTTGTTTTTATTTTATTGATAGAAATTCAATTTTATAATTTCCTACAAATGTGCATAAAATGACAATACAGATTACAGCAATACCTCAAAATTTCGACGAAAAATCGGAGATAAAGTGATGAATGATGAATCGAAAATGACAATACCTCAAAGTCTCAAACGTGGTTGCCAATTGCCACCATGACCAGTACCATTTTCTTTCTGGATGGAATTGGAATGTGGCTTGCAGTTGCAGAGGCTTTAATCAGGCTTGTGCAGTTCGGTGTTTTTAGAATCAATGAAAAATATAAGAATGGAGATTTGAGATGACGTTTCGGATTCTAAAAGAGGAGATTTGGGTTAGTGGGTTAAGTTGGACTTTTGAATGGAATGGCTGCTGTCATTATGGCAAATGGGTTTGAGATTAGAGTTAAATTGTGTGTGGGCCAGCTAATTGTAAAAATTGGACTAAAATTCATCCAACTAAGTGGGCTAATTTTTTCTTTGGGCCGAGCTATACTTTTTTCCCCACAAAATTTACACATATAATTTGTATCTGGGCCAGAGCTGCACTGGGCTGTAGCCCAGTACAGCCCCCCCTTCATTCCGCCCCTGTTTATCAAGCATATGTTCAGTTTTCATTACGGAAAAAGAAGCTTTTGCTACTTAAAATATGGGATGGGGTTCAAGTTGAAGAAGAAGCACTTTGGCATTTATGAATTTCAGGTTTACTCAATGTCCAGTGCAAATTATATGGCTGTGCCTATTTATATTGCCAAAATAATTGTATTGATGGTGAAGGATCAGCTAAAACCAAAAACGAAAAAAGCCTCGTTTCATTATCAGTGTGGAAAATATCGATTTTAAGTAACATACTTGTAAAGCCACCGTGTTGTGGGATAGTCGATACCCATTAGTCCTGTACGTTGTCCAACTCCATTCATGAAACGCATACTAACAACCTCAGCAATAGCACACAAAACAGTCTGCAATATAGTAGAGAGCAATCTAAATCAATATTTTCTTTATTTGATTTGATTTTTATTTTTTTTATTATCTTTTTTTTTGTGTGTGTGTGTACGTCTCACCCTTTGTTCAGTTCGAGAAAGATAAGGTCTCTTTTCTGTATCATGAGACAATCGCACTTTCCCCCGCTTCTCTCCTGATTTGTTCCATTCCTTGCTTACATTGGCATTATTCCACATCTCTTCCATGTCTTCAGGGGAGGTCCTCGAGTCCCAAGTTATTTTTGCAGGGTTTGTTCCTTTGCAATTAGAAAGTGAGGTGAAGTGCGTTTGTAGAGTAATATACACTACATATAGAATTTAAGCTCTTAAAATTAGGCAATATACCCCATTTCATTTTCTCAAAAACAACTGAAAACTCTATGCCTAGAATTAGTACATGACCGGGAAGGTTGAGGCATTTTGTTCATAGTCACCAAATACTACAAGGCAAGCCACTAACCCAGCCCAACCAATAGCTCTCAATGTCTAGCATCAGAGCTTATGTTACAAAAAACGAAGCGTCATATGCTGACATTAAGTTTCCTAACTGAGGTCCATTACAGAGTGAGTTCTACATTAAACTCAAAGGATGCTCAATTACTCTAATGAACTATCCTAATACTTTAAGAAATATGTTTTAATATGATTAAGATGTTAAAATTGAAGACCTAATTTGGAGAATAATATTAAATAAAAACGAGTTTATCACAAGTGCAATACTTTTCCTTGTTGAAACAGCTGTAGCAGAAGCTGAGAGAGCATTAGGCACCGGAGCAACTTCGAAAACTGTCCTACAGAAATAGTGACACATTATAGGTTTAAACATGAAAACATCCACAGACCCACTAAAGCATTATTTAGACACAAGCCCTTGTTCAGATTATATCAAATGTTAGGATATACACGAAATTTGTGTTACAATTATGTTCACAGTGCATGTACACGTCTGCTAAAGGAGAAAACTTTTATCATCAAAAGGTTGAGGACTGTCCCTGAGAAGAGAAGCCTAATCTTGTTATGTAGCTGGCTTGATGGAATATCTTAGTTGCTACCTCCCATCAATAGAAAGACTTTAAGGATATAATCATTGTGGGATAAAAGCAAGTACCTGGTTGGAAGAGTTTCCTTGACAGAGAGATAATTGTGCCAATATTTTAAAGTCGACTTGTGAGTAGCCTTCTTGGTACCTCCTTTATAAGCCCTCACCATGAATTCTTCACTTCTTTCTCTGCTTATATATATCTTTAGTCAAACCGTGAGCCCAGAATTGCTATATTGTAGACAGCCACATAGAGCATGAAAGGAAAATGCGTTATTATTAACTTACATTTGCTCAAAGTTTGATAACCATTTAAGATGGGCTGCACCAAGATAAACATTTACAAAAGGCTTGTATAGAAGTTTTGAATTCCCATCCACTTCATAGGTTGGGTAAGACAAATCTCTGCAGAAAGGTCAATTCACTCGTTTTTTTCAAGCTACAAATGAACAAACCGAATCCTCAAAAGAGGCATGTCTTCTCAATGAATATCAGAGCTTGAAACATTTGTACCTGACCAGCCACTCCGCAGTTTTTGGTGAGATTTGCATGATCCCCATCATGCAATCTTTAGATTTCTTGTTGTACTGTGTGGCCAAAGGTTGTCTACCACTTTCACGTTCAGCAATAGCACAAAGCATCTCCTGTTGAATACGAGAATGATACATCAACTAGAAACCTAATTAATTATAATAGCACCAAGTGATCTAAGCAGTGCTACCTAATCTACAAGTAGAATATCATACCGAATCAATCTGGGAGACAAAATGCCTTCGAACAATAATTCCCGCCACAGCCTGCAAAATCAAAATTCTCAGATCTTAAACTATATTTAATTGCTGAGAAAAAATGCATACTTTCGGGGGTTGCCTAGCTGTTGATGATTATGGGCCAAACTCTATGATACATATAGTGTTTTATTTTCAAGACATGTTTAAAAAACATCAACAGAATGGAAATTAAATTAACATTGATGACAAATTGACAGTTGCTATAGAATCATAATTTCTAGAAACCGATATAGAGCAATTCACTGTCATACCACCTCTTCTAATTATTGAACAAGCCGAACTCTCATTTTTCGATCCTCGTGTCAAACAAGGAACTCAAATTAGGGGCAGGGCTAGGGATGTAACTTAGAAATTTATTCGCTTTATCTTCATCTCAGTTTGTGTTAAGTAAGGCTGACCATCAGGATCACGTGAGAGGTGGACTTTTGATCCCATTGTCTCTCCAACATTAAGCCATTCTTCTTTCACGCCAGGATCCCTCCACATTGCCTCTAAATCTTGGGGATCCACACAATCATTCCAGTATTTGAAATTGACGGCTGCCATCCTTGTAATGCACTAAATGCTTCTCATATCATCTAAAATTAGGGTGGCCAGTATTAACAGAATCTATTGTTACCAAGAAATATAAAAATTGACGCAAACATTAAAAAATATCAGCGTTCATTTGCAGAACCTACTTACACAGTCAGAGTAAATTATGGTTTCTAACTATATCTAAGAACCAAGGTTTCATTTGGTAAACTCATTTAGTTTTTTTGTCCAATTGCAGTCGTTGCAGCTTATTTCGTCGAAGTTGAGTTTTCTTAGCCTGGGAAAAATGAAAAGGGATCCACGTTCTAGTAATTGGTGTCAAAAGTTATGCTTTATGGTCTATGAAGCTACGTTTGTTTCTGACTTTTTTCCTAACTAACAGGAAAAGATCGTCAAATAGAAAGGAGGTTAACGGCTTTTGATCAAGATAGTCATTAGAGCTTGTTGGGCACGAGATACAATTCACTTCAAAATATGGTAGTTGGAGTCGGTGGATCTCCCAACATCCCTCATCTGAGATCGCTAGAGAAGAGGATCAAGTTGGTCTTGAAGATATATTATATAGAAGACTTTTCAAATTGCATACGTAATTAGGATTTTAGATTCTCTAATGTTTTAATTGATTATCTAGTATTCTGTTAGATTCTCGAATATTTTAATAGTTGTTTCTTACCTAAATTTTATAGATTCTCTCGTATTTTGTTATATTAATAAGGATTTTATTAAGGGCTTGTTTGAGTCTCATTTTTGGCTAACAATGTATTTTGAAATTGTAGATTGATGGAGATTATGTGTTTAAAAAATAATGAAAAGTTCTGGGTTTGATTGTAATAATATTTTATTGAAGAATGTTTGGTTGAAAAAAGAGAGAAAAAAAATGTATTTTGGAAATAATGGAGATCAAACAAGGGCTAAATATTTCCTACATAGAATAAGTTCTTTAAAACCTAAAAAGGGTGCTTATGCGTTGTGATACATAGATAATAAAATAAATTAATACTTTCTCCCACAATTTCTATCTCTTATCTCCCCCTTCTTCTCTCTCTTCTCTCTCTTCCTCTTTCTTTCTCAATCTTGTTCAATTGTGTTTGTTGCATCCTACATCACTAAAATTCCTAATGGCAGTGGTAAAGAGTTGACAAATTACAAAGTACAATCATCGACAATATAGAAAATTCCACAAGCTGAACTTTGATCAGGAGGAGCTTTATGACCAATCTGAAGGTAAAAAATTAAACAGTTCAGGAAAATAATGGAATTGGGGCAAATGAAGCTTAAATGAAACTGGCATGTCATTATCTATTAGCATTGACCTGTCAAGAGAGAGATAGAATACTCATTTGAGAAGTAATTTGAAGGCTTTAACGTAGCAAGTAAACAATAGATAGTCGACTACAAATGCTCAACCCAGAAAATATATGGCTTTTAAAATAACCAAGTTACAGATCATATAGAAGTAGCAAGGTAATGTATTTTGAACAGAAGCAAATTTCTTATAAATCTGGCAAACTATAACAAAATGCTCTAGGGCCATTACACCCCTCCAGAATTTCTAAACCAATTGGTATTCAGTTTTTCTTTACTTAATATTCGAAGAAGCAACTCTTAATTCTAATTGCTTTACTATTTCATAAACCAAGAATTTATTTTGAGCGACTTCTAATGATTTCGCAGAATCACTTCCAGAAGCCGACCGAATTCTTCTCAACCATTTACCAAAATTGTACCACATTTCTATCCAATAGCATTAGAGTTACAAAATTAGCCATCATCAACCATGATTGGGGAAGAATTTTGATATTTCACCCCTTGGGACAAAATCAGACATTTTCTCGAACAGGTAGAAGTTTCTGAATGTTCACTACACCATCAAGCCAAAAACCAGAAACCAAAAACCAAATATAGGTAATTTCCTCTACTCTGACAATAATAGATGAAATCAAATTCACATAAAAGACAAAAGGGGACAGCTGTTAATCCTGGTTGAATGTAGGGTACCTTCATCATTGAATGTGTGCCAAAAGAACCCAAATTGAGTAGTTGCATCAACTAAATAAAATTGAACGGAAGATAGTTTGAATTTATAAATTATGATTGGGAAAATTCTATCACATTGCCTTGCTTATTCAATTATTCATCAACTCTTCAATCATAGAAAAAGACAGACATTCAAACAGAAAAAATTAAGCCCAAAGAAGAGAAGATAAATGCGTACCGGAGATGAAAACGCGGAAAGAATGGGGTATGGAAGTCTCCGCAGATTTTGAAACTTGAAAGACGAAGGGAAGGAGGAGAGGAGCCCTTCTCCTCTTTGGAACCTTTCCCCGGAGAAAATGGAGATATTCCAGGCTAATCGAATTTCATAGTCTAATCGAATTTCATAGTCAAGTGTTATATTGTTGAATGTGGATTGACAATTGGGATTTCTTATTTTTGGTTTATTATAGGTTTGGTTCAGGGAGAGTGTACAAGGTGACACATGCCGTGTTCTCCAGCCACCAGAATCAAAGTACATTCAAAAGCAATGGAACAAAGATTTGTCGACTGCGATTTCTCATTCCTGGTGTCCTTAACAAAGCATCCTGCCGGTTCTTTAATTTCAGTGCAAGTGGAACCTTACTGCCTTACTGGAACGAAAACTTTCAGTTTCACCTTCTATACCTGACATGAACATGGACTTCATCGGGTTATTGGTTCAGTGATCGAACAGATGAATTAGTGATCAGACATGGTCACTGAGGAAATGATAAGAAATGACCGGATAACCCGATGATATTTCCAAGGAATCTTTCACTCTTTTTTTAATTAAAAAAAAATCGAATTTAAAGTTTAAAATTTCAAAATACCCCTCCCAAAATTGACTCTTACAAAATTGAAAATCACGAAACCGACTATCACAAAACTGGTCAGAGCAAGGTTGATCTATCGGCGGCGAAGTGTTGTTAAGGTAAGTTACCGTTGGTTGGTTTAATTTTTAGATTTTGGAGATTTTTTTGTTTATATTAGTAAAATAGGGTTTATATAGTGTAAAAAAAATATTGGTTGTTTGAATTTGAAAGTTTTTCTCGTCGGAAATGGCAATTTTTGTCGGCCATTTTGACTAAAACCCGACTATTAACAGTCGGGTAGCAGTGATATTGGGTTGGCTTAACAGTCAGCCCAATACCCCTGCAGTCGGTGGA